ATTTAGCAGATGGTCCAAGCTCAAACCAAATTGAGAAGATTTTGATTAACCACAATTTAAATGTTATAATGTATCGAATGAGATCGATACATTAATTTTAACCTTTTTTTATGGGGGTACTGATGAAGTGTCGACCTATATTTTCACCCTAAAATTTGAAATTATTTTGGCCTCACTATTGAGATGTGAGACGTTTTAAGAAAAGCGGTAACACTTTTTTTATTTTATGAGGGCTACGATTACTTAGATAATGTTGACATATTGTGGGCGAGATACCGGGTGACGTAGACCGTAATTTATTTATAAAGTTTAGTGATTATATTCTCTAAATCGGACTAAATTTGATCGCTAAAATTCTAACAATAATCATATTAGAAACAAATGAAATCATTCTTCTCTTTGCTTCTTTTGTGAAAATATTGTTAATTTTGCTCATCTAAGTAAAGCAAATCATCTTCAGTAAATAATAGTTTTAAATATTGGCTGTGTACCCTATGCTCCCTCTGATTCAAAATGTATGTATTTTGCCAATAACAAATGATCATGCTAATAATGTCAAAATTTTCGATCACTATTCCAATTTATACCAACATTAGAAATATTAATACTAGTTCTAGCTTGTTTCAATTAAAAAAAAAAAAAAACCCACCATAACTCCATTTCATTTTTCCGAAAATACAGGCTACCCGTAACGTTTCACGCTGTTCTCAACCACGGCAACCACTTTGATCAGCCATTCGATACAGATTTCAATTTGATTTTTTTAAGCCGGGGCTTGTGAGTAAAACCTCATACAACCTCTTGCAGGCGAACAACACTCTCAAGTGTGTTATGCATTCAAAATGACCCTTCACGCTAAATCAACAGAAGCAAAAAAAAGTTTACGCAAACTTCACACAAAGCCCAAAACAAAAGTAGGCTTATTGCCTGGCCCTTTAATATTGACATTGCTATGGTCACTCAGTTTTGATTTTGTTGCTGGTGGTGGGGGGTGGTCGCCAACATATCTACCGACATCTTACTTGAGTGGCACTTTTTATTTGCTGTGGGGTTATTTCAACCCCATTGCATACGGAAATACAGTTACAGTGGAACCATTAAAATGGCGGAATTTATTACTTGAACGTTGATCGAAGGACCAAAGTTGTTTTGCGTATGTCGCTTTCTTGTTTGTTTGTCTCGGCTTTTTGTTTTTATTGCAAATCCATTTCAATGTTTCGTTGTTGGGGTGCAGCGTTGAATTTGTAAACTGCATTTTAGTCCAGACTATAACCAGTGGGAGGGGGGCGAACGTGTGGCCAGGGCCGGGGCAGAGATATGCTCATTGTTTGGCCGTATTTATTTTTTTCTTTCGGTAGCGAAATCCACAATATGTGTTTGTGCGGCAAATGGTTTATGGGGTGTTGGTGGCCAACATATAAAACTGTGCAACGCGGTTGTTTTCCCAGCAATTGGCTTTTGCATTACGAAAGTATGTGAGGAGTGGGAACGGGGTAGATTTGGTATTTGTTTTCATTTTTAGCGTACGCCTTATTCAACAACATCGGCTAAAGAGAATATTCTTCCTGCAATTGCTAGATGTCGGACGCTAGTGCAATAAAACTTTGGAATTGCCTTGGCAATTCAACGCTTTTTTCATTGAATTGTACCCTCGCCCGTATTTATTCTCACTATATGTGTGTATACAGCCTTTGGGCCTTGCATTAAAATTTAACCCCACAAGCAATTAAGAAAAAACCTAGACCCTGTTTAATTTAGTATTGTTTCTCTTTTCTGGGTTATTAGCAACTTGGTAACAATACTACATTCCATGGACCGTCGTTATCTATTGACACCCTCGGTGCACACATACATATATAGAGAAGACTCATGCAGAAGAATTTGGTTTGGTTTCATTTGGCATACATTCCATGCATGACAATCATTCGCCCAACCAGTCAGCATGGCTCCATCTTGCTATTGCTCCACTATTGTAACTTATTGTTCCATTTGGCTTTTCTCCTCACTACTACCACTACTGCTGTAGCAGTTGTTGCTGCTGCTGTTTTTGTTTCGCCTGCTTGTAGTTGCGGGTATTATTACCACTTTTAATCCATAGATGTTGTCGTTCGGATGTCAGCTGCATTGGTTTGCGTGCAATAGGTTGACACAATATTTGTTGTGCGGTGTGACAGAACGAAATAGTTGGCGGGTGGGTGCATGGTTGGTTGCGGTATGTGTGCATCTTCGCCAAACTTTTTGCGTATAATTTGCCCAGCGAATGGGTGCAGATACATATGCACAGACTCACATAAAAACTGAGTATACCATTATGTTTCTGTGTTTTTCTTTGACATATCCTTGTTGTTTTCTTTTTCTTCCGTGTCTTCTTTTATATTCACTGGTGTTATTCTTATTTGTTCGCCTTAATATCGGCCGTATTTCTCTCTATAGATATGTAATTACGGATATTGCCAATGTTGCTGCAATTGCTGCTGTTGTAGATTGTGAGCCATCCAACCAACCAGCCAGCCAGCCAGCCATCGAACCATCCAACCAACTTTATCGTTGGCCACATTGCTTTTGCACGATACAGACCACGCAAAACCCACATTATGTTGAATTTTCATTACTTTGCAGCTTCTTCGTTATTGTGAGGTTTCCAATTTTATTTTTGTTGCTGTTGTTTTTTCTCGCAGATAAACACATGTTGTCGCACATTGAAATGGGGTTAACATTTGAAGAAAAAATTCTTTGGGTGGTAAAAATGTGAAAGTGAAAAATATTTTTTTAATGCCTATTTGTAGAAATCGCATTTCCTTTTAAACCCTTGAAGATGAGAATCATAAGAAATATATTATGTTCATAGCCGCTGACGAAGGCCGGCCAGAGACACCTGGGCTCCCCAAATTGGTATATTTTTAGAACCTTTATGGACATATTTCTTGACAAACCATATGTGTTGTCGGTTAGTCTCTCGCCTGAAATGGTTTCGAAGACCATTTTTGGCTATGTCGGAGGGCTTAGTGGTTAGGTGTATGCCTCAACGCAACTAAATTTTGAGGTTATTGTTTTGGATAGGATCTTCAAAATACTCAAACCGATGTGCTTAATGCCCAAATGTGAATCTATATCGAAAAAAGAATGTTTCCATTCAGTCTAAATTACAGTCTAATTGGGTGAGTATGGGGGGTTAGATTGTATGGAAGCCAACCAAGTAGCAGTCCTATTTGGGAAGTTCTTATTTTGAGAATACCAAGAATTATGAATAATTAAAATGGCAAAGCCGGTGTTTCGACTGACCGCATACTATTAGACCTATATATCCCATCTTTATTCTAGTTCGAATGTTTGTCGGAAGATTTTTTAGAGTACTTTTATAACGATAGTTTTGAGCTCTTCTTGGGGAGGTACTACAAAATGTGGGTGCATATATGGTAAAATTTTCATTCCCTTTCCAATAAAAAAATATTTGGCCGGGAAAATTAGGAAAACAATTTGACGTTTATTATTACTAAAAATTTTGATATATTATTGAGTGGGGTTGCCAAATATTGTCCATTCGGATGTCACTTATATGAACATATCTAAGTTAGGTGCGGGTATGAGAAAGACTCGATTGATACTTTTTATTCCAGGAACAAGAAAAAGTAGACCAGTAAAGATAGGTTGGTTGTAGAGAATTTGACGAAAGACCTTCAATTTTTTCGCATATCGCGAGAGTTGTAGTATTTGGAAATTTTAACGTTACGAGGGGGAGATGCCATAAAGTGTGAACAGATGTGGTTCATCTCCGAACTCGATCAGTTTGATAAAAATAGTTTATATCGAATCGGATATTCCCTTTGAGCATTTTCGTGCGCAGAGACAGACGGATGGACTAGGTGGACTTCATTTCAAGCGGAATCTGTATGTTGCTTGAATAAAGCGAACATGCTTGTTCGTTTCATAGTGGAGGCAAAATTCTCTTGTCGAGTACTCTTTTAGCATGTGTCATACCGTTGTTGCGTTTATATGTATGTGTATTTTCTCAACCCACAGCTGCACAATCAGTGCAAAAAAAAGATTTGATAATTTTGTTGCTTTTGTACACACAACCACAGGTCCCTTGCTTCTGTTGTTTTTCTCTCATTTGATTCATTAACACTCGGGACTGATCTCACATAAAACAACGCGTAAAGCGTTATCTTCGTATAAACATTGTACTTTTCGAGCACTATCGCTCGCAAGCAAGTTTCGCTCTCGAGTAAGAACGAGAAAATCTGTGCTCGGAAAGTGGGAATCGTCCTTATCACTACATATCTTCATTTCAATTGTTGTTATCAACATTAAATAAATGGTCTTTATCTGTCAAATCCTCCCCTTATTATAAATTTACCACCACCGACATCATAATTTTGGTAAATCATAAATTTTATACGTACAACATACGAATTTCCCGATTTCGACTAAGTTTTACTGTATTTTTCCATAATCTCAGACGAAAGACTGACATATACAAAAAGGTAAGATCAATTCTAAGCTTAGAATATATATCTGGTGGCAAAAGTTATTGTTACTAAATTTCTTAATTAAACTGTTTGAAAAATTCAATTATTTTCTGTCTTTTCCAAATTTTGCAGAATTACAATCGATATTTTCCACAACAAATAAAAAATTTATTTAAAAAAAATGAAATTCTCCTTGAAAAAAAAATATCAATTTCATAACTCTACCCCATCTTATGTTCACATCAGCCCTCCACCACCAGCATCATCTCTTGGTATCTATATTTAAATATGCAATTTCATTTTATTATTTACCATCTGCGTATTTCTTTGTGAATTTTTACAAGACATACTTTCTGTTTATCCTTTCGTTTCTTTTCTTGTCCTTTCCACCCACCTCAGCTACGACCCACGTTGTTGATGTTGTTTCTTCATCAACTTTTTAATTAGCCAAATATTCTTTGTAATATTCATATGATAATTGAGAATATTAAGGCTACACACTGGATGATTGTGCGAACTGAAGATACTTACCAATTACAGTGAGATTAATTTTAAGGTTGCGTGTTGGTGAATTACGAAAATCAACTCTACACCGATACACGCCTTCATCCTCGAGACGTACACTATCGATTTTCAGTTGGGCCGGATGGGAAGTGCTGCTGAAATAGGCTCGTGTACCAAAGGCCGATGGTGAAGACCATAGGCGAGCCTGGCCGAATTGTCTCCCTCGAACATCGAAACTAAATGAAAAGAATTGATAAAATTTGTTATTTATATTTAATATGGATGGATGGCAGAAGGAGAAAATGTATAGATGAAAATTACACTCCCAATTGAACTCGTTTTTTCATTCATGTGTATTTTAAAGAATGCATGAATGCACTAGCATTCAAAATTTTCCACATGAACAATTACTCAATCTCTCTTATCTAATATCCTTGTTAGTTTCCATTCATTAGAAACATACTTTCATTACTGATGTTTAAATTTACTTAATGGAAATATTTTTCGAAATACTTTAGATTTATTCTCTTTATCTTTACATTTCATTTCATTCCATTTGATTTCATTCATAAGCAGCAAAACTACTTATTTAATTAAATGAATTGTATTAAAGGAGCTTAGGGAGTCCCTTTTTGAACAACATTCTACCTGTGCCATAAAGGATGATGGGAATTAGTAACACTTTGGCCCGAAGCCATAGCACACAAACGCACACACATGAATGATTTTTCAAGATAAATTAACCCACTTAAGGAGGAATAAGGAAGTACTCAACATGATGTTGAGAGAAGATGATAAAAACCATATACTAAAGATTGGTTCTTCAACTGACAATATGTGGGGGTAGATGTGTATCACTTTTACACACATTTATGCACGTAAATACTTGGTTATTATTCAAGTATTAAAAAATATAGATGAAAATGGATATATTGCTAGGATACTGTAGTCCCATAAAAAACAAGATGTATTTTTAGTTGATATGTAGCTGTTATTAACAACTCGAATAGAGTGTAAGCTTACTCACAAATACTCACACAGAAATGTATCTAAATGCCCTCTTAAATAAACTTCTCCACCGTCATCATAGAGCTTTTGTGTATCCCTTCCAACAATACAATACAACCGCCACCCATTATTGTTGAATGATAATAACAATAATATTCCCCATTTGTTGTTGTTGTTGTTGCTTGGTTACTTACTTGTAAATAGGTTCACCATCGCCTTCACGAAACCACAGTACCATATAAACAGCATCGTCACGTTCCATTGGCGTTATATCACACGGTAGCATAGCCTGACGTCCCAATACACCCTGAACGGATGTAAGTGGTACTGTAAAGAAACAAGAAGAAGACAGACAAAAGAAGATGTTAAAAGACGAACAGGAATAAGAACACAATTTGAATATTCACAGGAAATCTATAAGAAAATGAACTGCCAATTTGAGCTGTGGTACAGTTAAATAAATGCAAATTGGCAGTTGTTTATTTGTGAAATGAGAAAAGATTATTTTTTGCGCTAGGCTTTGTTGTTGTTGTTCTCACATACACTTAAAGAAAATAATGCCTAAAATTTTTGGAAATATGTAATGTAAGGCAGAGTAACTATTTTTAGAACTATGGGTTATTTAAGGTTGAGTATATTCCAAAGATTCAACTGAATGATTTTTGGACGCATTGGCCCCAAAATTTGTTTGATATTCACTTCAGGAAATTTAATGTATGATAGAGTATGGAGTTTGTCAGTGTAATTCAAATATAATTTTAAACGGAAACAGTTGAAAACAGATATTTTGGGTTCATAAAAAACATCAGTGTAGTAGGTAGGTCCTCCTGGTAAAAGTGGGTTTCATCTTCCAGTATCCTCATCTTGTTATTTTTAATACCCAACCGATTGATTGTAATCCTCATCTCGTTATTTTTAACACCCAACCATTGGATGAACGATTTATCAATTTATTGATTTGATTTTTTAATGTAGAATAAAATGCCAGATCTGAATTCTTGTAATTTTTTATGTCCGATTCGCATTTTTCTTTTCTTTAAAAGTTTTTTTTTGGATCTTTAAAAGTTTTAGTTTCAGTTTTAAAAAAGGAAGATTTCTGTCTACTGGAACCCTTAAGTAACAAATGTCAGGGAAAATCATTAAGTATATTCAAATTAGAAGATTTCCTTAGAAAGACATTCTGCCTTTTTATGTCCTCAGCCATATGCTACAGAAGGTATATCTGAGGTCAGCATGAGTACTTGAAGAGGAGAGATTTGTACGGAGTTTACTCTCTTTTGTTTGTATTACGTGGGAGCGCTCGTGAGTTATCCCTGTCTCAAAAGATGGAGTGGGTGTTGAAATAGAGTAAGAATTTACTCTGAGACTGAAATCGAGTAGAAACAAGTAAAAAAGCTGTAAGTTCGGCCGGGCCAAACTTTTAATACCCTCCACCATTTGGAACAAATGTGACAATTTCCAAAAAAAAAAAAAAAAAAAAAAAACAAAAAAATAAATAAATAAATAAAATCCGTTAAAATTTATGTTAAAATCTTAAAAACACCGAACGCCTATAAGACGACTTGAACCTGCATAGGCAACTTTTGTCATAAGTTATTACAATATTTAAATGCGAAACTTGAAGAAAAATCTGTTTATAATGTAGCTAAAATCATCAAAACACCGAATATAGGGGGTACCGTTATATGGGGGCTATACGAAGACGTGGACCTGCACAGACAATTATCTGGCATGGGCTGAAGTATCCATCACGAACTTCACATGCGAAATTTGAAACAATCCCGGTAAATAATGTCGCTAAAATCATCAAAAAAGCGAATATCGGGGTTACGGTATATGAGGGCTATACGAAGACGTGGACCTACATGGCCCATTTTCTGTTTTATGCTGCAGCATCTATTACGAACTTCAAATGCCAACTTTGAAACGATTCCGGTAAATAATGTCGCTAAAATCATCAAAATACCGAATATCGGGGGGTATAGTATATGGGGGCTATACGAAGACGTGGACCGACATGGCCCATTTTCTGTTTTATGCTGCAGTATCTAATACGAACTTCAAATACCAAATTTGGAACGAATCCGTTAAATAATGTCGCTACCGTTATATAGGGGCTATACGAAGACGTGGACCTACACAGATTATTTTCTGTCTTAGGCTGTAGTATCCATTACGAACTTCAAATGCCAAATTTGAAACAAATCCGGTGAATAATGTCGCTAAAATCATCAAAATACCGAATATCGGGAGGTACCGTTATATGGGGGCTATATGATAACTTCGGCCTACATGGCCCATTTACGAACTTAACCTGCCTACTGGCAAAATATACATGTGTGCAAAATTTTAGCCTTCTATCTCAATTTGTTCGAAAGATAGCGTGATTACAACAGACAGACAGACATGGCTAAATCGTCTTAGAATTTTACGCTGATCAAGAATATATATACTTTGTTGGGTCTGACATGAGTATTTCGAGGAGTTACAAACTGAATGACAAAATTAATATACCCTCCATAGTATGGTGGAGGGTATAAAAACTATAAATAGCCGAATCAAGGTCCGGGGGGTTATGTGTGAAAAAACAACAACAATATCATATGCGTTGTAAATACAGATTAGCAGCCATACTCTTCAACGTGTTTCAGATTAGCAACCACACTTTTCAACATCCTTGATTTAGTTTCTTTCGCAAATGTGGGTTGAGCAAATACGCACAAATACAACAACCATATGACAAAAACAAAAAAAATCATATAACAGTACATTGCGCTATTCGGTATTTTGTAATTTTAGGGACATTATTCATCGTAATTTTTTTTAATTTCGTATTCAAAGTTTTTTAATAGGTACTAGAGACTACGACGAAAATTGTATATATATGTCCACGACTTCATATAACCCACATATAACGACAACTCCCTTTATTCAGTAAAAAATTACTTATGCAGAACCACGTATTAGTATAGCCTTTGCTCTGAATGGTATTTTTGGGCGATTTTTTTTTTTGGCATTAAAATTTGGCCGAAGCTAACTTGTTTTTTTAATTGTTCTAAACTAATATATAAAAACACAGCCAATCCGGCCAACATTTGAAGCTTTAAAATTCTTAATGGCGTCCCAACAACTAAATTCCAAGATGTGTTTGTTTAAATTATTATCTTTTAAGAGCCTAGCCTTTTATTTTTATAAGAGCCTACCAATTTCGTGGTGCGGCGAGGTTTTCTCTAGTTAGGCATACATTTCTCTTTTACCAATTGTGATTTTGAATATAATTAGATTTTCTCTATAAACGTGGCTAATATTTTTAGCTAAAATCAGAGATAATTTTCTCTTTAGCAATCGTGATTTTGAATACAATCAGATTGTCCATTAAATTTCTCAAGAATTGAGAATTTATGCTGTTGCATTATTGATGTATAATTCATAAAAAAAACAAAATCTTTAAAAATTCGTTCTTGCGAAAAAAAAAATTCATTTACAGCAACCATTCATACTGGCAATATAAAATTCATCATGACCTAGTCATAAATATATATTTTTCATTTATATTCTCAACAAACATACAATTTCATAATAGAATTATAAGGATTTACATTCAATATACACATTTTGATACAATACGAATTTTCAATTTTACACCCAAATCCTGCAAACTTTGGACCTTCGTATACAAAAAATTTTCTGATTATCGAAGAGGAAAAATGATTGAAAAGTAAGGGAGAAGGAAAAAATAACGAATAGTAGATGATTTATTTTTAATAAAGGTTCACCCTCTCGTGCTCCATTACCACCCAAACCACAAAGCATTGCCAAGTAGAATAAACATTCGTAGTAGTCGCAGCAGCAGCAGCAGCAGCATGAATGAGCAAATATTTGTGAAATGCTAATGATAATTCCACAATGGACAGCGGATGAATGATTGGTTGGTCGGTCGGTCGGACATTTTGCTGGTGTTGCAATTCCGACAACGAATGTATGTGGGTAGTATTTATTATTGTTATTATTGTTGCTTGATTTTCATTTATTTTCTGTCTTTCTCCAATATTTCTTTCTCGGTAATGGCATTGTTTTCTTTGCCATACCCCACAGGCAATGGTTTATTTGCACGTTAACGAAAGAAAAATAAATCCTGAATTTCTTTTACGCTCTACGTATCCTTGTTGTTCGGATGCCCTACTGCAAGGAATTAATCACAGTTGTTAATGAGTTTCGTTACACAAAATTTAAGTGTTTGAGTGCCGTGTAAATATTGAAAACATGGCGTGAATTTTATGAATTGTTCTTGAATTGTCATCGAAGGCGGGGAGAGGAATTAAAAGAATCAGCCATTGGTAATTTTATCGAGATATGGGATGAACTCGGATGTGAATTTGTGGCTTAAGTTGCCGAGAAAAGATAAAAAACTTAATAATATTCTGTTTCGAAAGAAGGATCATATCAGATCTAATTGGTTTTTTCTTATGAGTTTTTTAATTTTTTTTATATAATAAAATAGCTGGGCGCTTACTTTAAAGTACTTATCAACCACTTTTAAGTATAGCAAAAAAGAAAGGTTAATTTTTTATAGAATTTTTGACCAGTGCCAACAATTTCATACTAAAACCAAAAGGGGTAGCGAAGCTCAGCGGGTTCAGCTAGTTGTTTTATAAATTTAGTAACCAAAATATTGATACTAGCGTCATTATATCCTAGGCAAGGGACAACTTTAAACAATTCCAAGCATTCCCTTAACGTATGAAATTTAATAATTTCCCCGGTCATATTTTATGTATTTCAATGCGGTTTGCAAAGCCTTTCTTTCGAATTTTGGAATTCCTTCTTCTTTTTATATTCGTTAGTTTCCAGCAGTAAAGTAGGAAAAAATTGGCGAAGAAGGATCATAAGTATACTTAAACTTCATCATAAGTTAATAGTTATTATGCACATGTGGTCAAAAGCAAAACCATTAAAGACAGATGGTGCAAATGTTCACACACCTACGGACATCCTAGGAAACCAAAAACGAACGAAAGAACGAACAAAAAGACACGAATTTCCAAGAAGTTTTCCAGCAGAAAATAAGCTAAGAAAACCCCATAGCGGCAGTGGCAAATGAAATGCTGTCGAAAAAAGGAGTGTAATTTATATCAAAATCACCTAACCACAGCTGCATGTAACTAAGAATCTATTGAAGTTTTCCATCTTATTCACTATGCAAGAGGTGAGGCGAAAACTGACAGGGCCAAGGAACAAACCTTTGCCATGGCAGGCATTTTGGTGGACGTGAACTGGCACATAATACATAGTTTGGTGAATTTTTAGGGCATTTTTTGCAGCAGCAG